CATTATTATCAATGCATCTTGATTGCATGTTCGATCAATCTCTGATTGTAAAAGTTGGTAAAAATCTTCTATCTCCTCTTCCTAGATGGATCTAGCAATGACTTTTTTAACTATGAAAGCAACTCCATTTTTCCTCACCTTTTCATCTCCAGAGTAATAATCATTTACTGGTTCTACATATTAGAGTTTCACACATGATTTCATTTGAAAAGTAATCTCCATTGTTAAAAATGTTTGAAAAACATACTCTAAATTACAATTTCAATTTATAAAATTTAATTCAGCCTACAACCTTGCCTTTAGCTATAGATGTCCTACCTTATTACAAATGTAGTATGCTGGCTTTTCAATCCTGTTAAGCAAAAACACTACCACCAAGTAAATTCTGAACCACAGTGACCTCAGAGCTGAATTGCTCAGTATTGTTTCTGAGGCTGTAAATCTTTTCAGAAATTGATTACTTCATCTTGTTCCTGAAGATTAGCTAGCTGGTAGATTTGAATCATTGGCCTTTTGGATAGCAGCCCAGCAAAAAGACTCCACTGTGTGACCAGGTTTTCAATTCTATTTGAAAGACCAGAGGATTTTCCTTTCTATCGCAACACACACTTCAAGATATTTTGCACTACTGAGATAAACTTTGCTTCCCTTTTGTCAATTTAATACTGTTCAGAGTATGTAAAAAATATTGCTCTGAACGTAAATGTGAAGGGTACAGTGATGCCTGGTTCTCCCCCAGATGCCACTTCTCTCCACGGTTAAGATGTTGACTAATTCTTGACATCTACTGATCGGAAAAATAAATAAGTTCTGTCTTTTCCTTCAAGTTTCAACAAATGTGAGGCTAGTTACCCTTCCTACAGGAAAGAATAGGTTCTCTAAAGAATATGCTAAAATGAGCAGATATATTGAAAGTAGAAAAGAATTTGTCCTAATAACATAGTATACAGTGTATATTCTTCCAAACACAATTTTATTATAAAATATGAGTAAAAAGAAGAAAGGTATGGCCATGAAAAATTCACTGGAAAAGCAGTTTTCCAAGAAAAGAATCAATTTACTACTCTATATATGATAACTCAGTTATTTTCGTCTTCCAAATATTCAGTTATCATTCTATATAGCTATGTTTTTAAGTTGACCAAAAATCAACAAAGTATGGCTTTGGGGGCCAAATCTACTCTGTGTGCTAAGAATATTTCAAACATTTTCACAGAGCTGTAAAGAAAGAAAACGGAAAAAAATGCAATAGAAACCACATATTGCCCACGAAGCTTAAAATAATTACTCTGACCTTTTACCAAAATTATGTACTAACCACTGACAGAGAACCATGAAGCTCCACAAATTAACAGAACAGAAATTGTGTTATTACCTGCTCATAGTTTAAACGTTGAATTTCTGAAATTTCTTTTGGCTTTGCATCAAGCATGTAATCACCTGTAAAGAGAAATTATGCAATTTCCTTTTAAAAAATATTTCTGATTACCAAAGTAATAGATCTTAATCATTAATGTCTAAGTATTCAGCAATAAATTACATATAAAGTTGACTGTCCAATTTTACCACAGAAAACTGATGTTGCTTACTGAAGTAATTTTTGTGTGGGGGGGGGTTCTTTTTATGACCTGCTTGATTTCTTCTTTTGTGATGGGTCTGTTAAAGTGTTCCACATCTGTCTGAGTCAATTTGGGTAGGACATGAGTTTCAAGAAATTTGTCCATTTCCTCTAGGTTTTCAAATGTATCAGTTGTTTGTTGTTGTTATGTGCCGTCATCTGTGACTTTTAGCTACTCTAAGTACAACAGTTCTGAACCCTGCCCTATCTTGAACCAATTTCATCATCTCTGACAGACCCAAGCCTCCTTCTCCAGTCACTGAATCTTATCCAGGGTCTATTGTTTCCCATTCTTTCTTCCTTCCTTCCACAGTTGTACAAGTTCCTCCTCATCTATATATTTCTTCTGGTTCTCTCTCTCTGGAGTATTCGCTTTCTTAATGACCTTTTCTTCCATCATTTGTACCTTCTTCTGTAGCTACTCAAATAACTCTCCATCAGTGTAGTTCTTTTGATTTTTTAACTTGTAAGGTATTCCCTTTATTTGGAGCTTCCACTGTTTGTCTCATCATTTGTACTTTCTTCTGTAGCAGCTCAAATGCCTCTATATCAACATTTATCTTTGGAATTCTTTTTTTAATAAAATTTTTTTTATTATTAATTTCAATGAAAATTTACAGAGACT